CAAAGCCGGCCCAATTTGGAAGAAGGGGAAGCCAGCTTACTGGGAACAACTCCAGGTTCGACTGAACCAAATCCAGCACCAGGACCACCCTTCCCATGGCACCATCAGAGGCTTTCTCAAAGCCACTGAATCAGCACCTAAACACTGGATTGGTGAACCAGCGTGGGCCCAATTTCTGGACATGACACAGCACTGGGGCAACCACCAGGATCCGCGCACACTTGAGCTTATGCAACACACCATCCAGCATCAGCTCACTCAAGCACTTGAACAATCCAGGACAGAGGGCCAACTCCAGTACGCTGCCTGGATCCGTCAAGGAGAAGCCAAGGGCCTTCGAGGACTTTTCAGGAACCTCAAAGCCAGTGAACTAGCTTGGCAACGGCCTTACCGCAATGTCCCCATGGCCGACCGGATGAGGCACTGGCTCCACGACTGGCACCAACTCTGGCAGCCAACCCAGGACAACCAGCCCTTGGTCCGGGACTCTCTCCAGGCCAGCGCCCAACATCAAGCCACTCAACTACCGGCACTCACGATAGGCCAACTGGCCCGGGTTCTCAAACAACTACCCGACCGAGCATGTGGTCCAGATGCCATCAGCACACAGCTTCTGAGGAACACACCACCTCAGGCTTTACCAACACTGCTCCAGATCCTCCAGGACATGGAGACCACAGCCACCTTGCCGACCCAACTCCAGATGAGCCTGGTCGTGATGTTGGCCAAAAACGAAAAGGTAGAGCGACCTATCACCCTCACCAGTGTCCTCTACCGAACTTGGTGCCGGCTCCGCAAGAACATTCTCGACAGCTGGCAACTCAATCTGCCACACTCTATGAACTACGACCGCGCACGCCCCGGTGCAACTGCGCTCCATGTTGCACTCGAGAGGCTCCTCCGCCAGGAAAGCACCAAGACCCTCGCACAACATGGCATCACTGTCCTCCTGGACATGAGCACCTTTTACGACACCGTCGACCTCAAGACGCTCCAGTCCGTTGCCCAAGCACTGGACTACCCTCCACTAGCGCTGGAGTTCGCGATGCAGGTCTACACAGGGCCCAAAGCAGTGATGGCAGACTCCGAGCTCAGCCACTGGTTCCATGTCACCCATGGGGTTGCTGCAGGATGCCCACAAGCTCCGCTGTTGGCGAAAGCCTTTCTTCAACCAATCCTCAGCCCCTTTCAGGCCAAACATCCAGAACTGCACCTCAACGGATGGGTCGATGACATTGGATTTGATGGCAGCCATCCCAATCCAGATACCCTAGCCAACTGCATTGTGCAGGCCTGGCGTGAGCTCCGCACTCAACTCCTTGCATCAGGCCTCAAGGTCAACAACAGCAAAACGGCTTTCATTGCCACAGACAGAGCCACCCACAAGGCACTAGCCAAACTCCTTGGCCCAGACGACCCACCCATCCAGTCAGTGATGCGAGATCTCGGGATTGATCACCAAGCAGGTCGAAGACGCCGCATCACCACACTGCAGAATCGGTTCAAGAAGAACAAGCAGCGGCGCATCAAACTGCGCACATTGAGGCTCCCCAATCTCCGCACCAGACTCCGGCTCCATCGCGGAGGCATCCAACCGGTTGCTTTGTGGGGCGTCGAAGGGCAAGGGCTCGCTCCCCGCTACCGACAAGCCCTCAGACAAGCACTTGCCACCCACCTTGGCCTCCACACAGGCGGCCTCACGGATGTCATCTACGACCAACACCAAACCAAGTACCTGGATCCTGCAGACCAAGTGGTAATCCAACATGTCCAGGCAATCCATGCCCTCATCACTCACTGGCCCAGCGACCACCTTCCACATGTTGAACGGGCTTGGCTGGAACTGCAGAACCAACTTCGCCAACAACAATAGCCTTGGTACCATGTCAAGGGGCCCATGGCTGCCACACTGGCATATCTCAAAGAATGGGGGTGGCACACAGACAGCCTTTATGACTGGCGCCGGAACGAGACGGCCTTTATGACAGAAGCCCACATCGATCTTCGCCAACCCTGGTGGCAGGTTGAAGAACTGCTCCAAGCCGAGGCCAAACAACAGCGCCAGCATCGTTTTGCCAACAGACGGAACTGCCAAGGCCTCGTTAGCGGGATCGACTGGACCACGGCTTCCAAAATCACCAAGCACATCAGCAAGGCCCAGGCCAACCACATCCGCACTTGGAACCAAGCGGCCATCCGATTCAAAGCCGACACCGCCACCCAGCAGTGCCCCCTATGCCAAGTCCCAGCAACGCCCAAACACATCGTGTGGCTATGCAAGTGGCATCACAACCAAAAGCACCAGCCTCTCCCAGTGCCTTGGACTGAGCGGCTGCAAGATCCATTGGAGGAACCACTCTGGGGCTATGGATGGATCCCTAAGGAGCCACAAGACCACCTCCAACGACCCCGTGCACTGGAAGGACATGGCTGTTGGCAGTCCCTCGAACCTCTTCCACTCCAACCGTGGCAAGGGCTCTCCGTCACCATAGATGCCACTCCCACCTCCGGCGACAAAAGATCCCAAGCCTGGATCTTCGCACTCTGCATCCATGGCTATTCGCTGGGAGCCCTACAAAGGAAAGGGACCATCACTGGCATGGCGAGAGGACCCCAGACAAAGGCCAGAGCCATCTTTCAAGGGCTCCTCACCCTGGCTCAGTTTATCCAAACGCCAACCAGGGTGATTGTCCAGGTCAGCTCGGCTTGACAAGAGGAAAGGCTTCCATGACCTGGTCCAGGGGCAGCCGGCAGAGCACTTCACTCTGATCACGCCCCTATACATCCACAAAAACCACAAGACCCCAGATGCTCCAGGAAATGAACCACACCTACGCCAGAGACAAAGGGATGCAGCCCTAGCGGCATGGGAACGAGCCAGCAGCATCCACAGCCCGGACAAAGAAGCCTGGCAGAGCATCCTCGACCAAGACCACCTCGAGATCTACAAGCATGCGGCTGCCCGTCTGGCCAAAATCTATGATGACAAGGATCACTACTTGCACACCAAGCCAGGCCGAGCAATTGGCCACAAAACAAAGCAGAGGAAAAAGACCCTCATTGCACAATGCCAGCAGCCCTGGCAACCGGGCAAACACCAATGGAAGGCCCACCGCAGCGGCTACCAGTGCCACACCTGCCAAACACGGGTGCACCAGGGCTTAGCTGCTTCCATGATCGAAGAACGGCTTCAGGAAGACTGTGCACCACTCACTGCACTGGCCCCGGAACCCGACCTCCCACCTGAGCGGGCAGTTGGGAAGAAAACCACCAGAGCCAGCCGCATTGCCTCCTTACTACAGATCCAGCAAGAGCATCCCACCACTCCGGATGTTCACCATCTTCAGGAGACGACTGGTTACTTGAAGTGCACCAAATGCAACCAAGCCATCCACAAAAGGGCCAATGAAGATCTGTTCAACCAGTTCCTGAACAGCACCTGCATCGATGCACCTTACTCCCAAGAGCATGCAGCTCATGGGACCCACACTCTGTGGCAGATTGGCAAAGGCATCCAATGCAAAGGCTGTGGACTTCACACCCACTTGGATGCACAAGACCGCCTGATCCTCACGAAAGGGTTCCAACGAGAGTGCAAAGGTCACAAACCGACCTCACCCACGCTTGCTCACTTCTTCAGTCAAGCAAGTACAGCCAGCCAAACGGTGCCAGCGCCACCAGAGCCTACCATCAGCTCTACTGCAGCTGCACCACCGGCTCCCACAGACCACACCACGGGCCATGATACCCAGCCCAAGGCACCTCTCACGGCACCTGCTCAGCAAGGTTCTGATGAACTCTCGCCTCCAGTGCCAAAGAAACTCAGATTCTCGGCAGTGCCACCGACGGCCGATGATGAAGCAATGTCCCAGAGCATCGAAGAGGCTGAAGAAGAACCTGACGATGCCCACGACCCTGAAATCCTCGTCGATTTCTTCTGAGGCACTGAGGCCAACTGAGCCGCCATCGAACAACAGGGCCACTGAGTCCGACCGCACATCAACTTCAGGAGAAAAAACATACATACATACATACATACATACATACATACATACATACATACA